GCCGTGATCTCAAAGCAAGGAATAGGTTACTTAGCCTAAACGCACGATCTAGATGTCCTATCTGACAGGTTACGTGTAGTCTAATTCACCAACGGACGGTCAGTAGTACTTGCGGCGAAACCGAATTCTAAGAACTTCACCTGCGTTTGTTCAGTAGTCGCGATTGGGCAGTGAACAATATATTGAATTGGACTTGGGCAGACAGTACAGACAGGTAGACCATGGTTCTATGGGAAATTACCAGTAAATCGTGAGGAGAGTTAAAGAAAGGCTTACGGCTAGATTGAACCTTGGGCAGTTAGCAACACAGGATGGCACACGAAGGGCAGCGTGCTATCGGACAAATCAAGCGGGGAAAATTGTTCAGTTCAAAGTGGAACAAAATTTCAACAAGTCCATGGATAAATGTAAACAAATCGTCTATAGAAATGGTTGAGGTAGAGTTGGCTTTGTATAAAATAGAACGGTTCAGTCTTGAAACTTGAGCAGTCACGGAAGGGTGACGGACTAGCCTGAGGAATAGGGAAACAAATAATTACTTCACGTAATTAACACTCCCGGGGAGTCAAGGGTGGGCTTTGAACCTCAATGGTTTGCTCGAGAAGATACAAATGTCGAACATCTCTCTTCAAGAGTCCCGTCACCGTTCGAACCATGACGTCACGAACTCGTCCATCCTTTCCTGGCGTAACCGTTTGTACAACTCCTTTTGGCCAGGATCCCCTAGATACGGACGTATCGACTAAGAGAACCAAGTCCCCCACCTTAAGATCACGGCCAGATCCCACCCACTTGTGTCTTTGATGCAGCGTAGGTAAGTATTCCTTTATCCACCGGACCCAGAAAGTATCGACTAACTGTTGTGCCTGGCGCCATCGTCTAGTTAGCTTCATGTTTGATCCAGGTGAGCTTTCGACTGAAGGGTTACCCTGGAGTAACAGGAGGTGATTAGGAGTAAGTGCCCCAAAGTCGAGAGGGTCATCTGATAATTTCGTTAGAGGTCGATCATTAATGATTTTTTCCACTTCAGTTAACACAGTAATAAGAACTTCATCGGTTACCAGTTGATCACCAAGCAACGATCTCAGTATCCTCCGAATAGATCGTATCATTCTTTCCCAGCCGCTTCCCCTGTGGCTAGCCTTTGATGGAGTGAAAATCCACTCACATGCCCGTTGTATAAAAGCTTTAGACACTCTCTCCTGGTTCATCCGAAGTGGGCTATGTCTGATCTCAGCTTCAGCACCACGAAAATTAGTGCCATTATCACTGTAAATACGAATTGGATATCCTCGCCGAACAGTAAACCTGGATGAGAAAGGCGCACGAAAATGAGTCCGTTTCGAGGGAACGGGCCACCTCAATATGCACAGCACGTATTGTCAAGCAAGTAAAAATACATCTGTAACTTTTTCCAACCCCACGACCTCGCTTTACCAACAAAGGTCTGAAATAATCAATACAAGTCTCTGCGAAGGGTGCTTCATGTGTCAACATTCTATCCTCGGGAACTGGAGCCATAATTTGTACTTCGGGTTGAGAATGCCAGCGTTTGCAGTGAAAACAAGAATGTAAAACACTCCGAACGACTGCTTGACCTTTGATAACCCAATATTTTTCTCGTAGCGCATTAAGGACATGCAAAGTTCCAACATGGCCGTTCAGTATATGGGTATGCTGGACGAGGAGCCTGGTTACGAAATGATGACTTGGGAGAATTACTGGATGTCTCATATCGAAAGGCACTGGAGCCCATCTAAGGCGTCCCCCAACACGTAAAATACCTTGGTGGATAATTGGGGAGAGTCGTCGTAGTTGACCCGGTAATCGTGGGGGCCTCCAAGCGTTAGAAGATACTGTGGATTTCAGTAGTTTTATTTCGTTTGTGAAACAAGCTGTTTGAACCGACCTAAGGTTAAGACATTCCGCCTTCACCAAATTCTTTCTGGTCAATCTACCACATAATTCGTCTCTGGGCAGCACAGATCTTCTGCGTCTCATCCATAGGCAGAAACGGCGCAGCCACGCCACTAGCCTCTTTAGCAGACTCCAACTGGACACGTGCTCAAAACGATCAATCCAATGTACATAAGTGGAGGTCGTATGTACCACCTCAGTTCCCTTTGACTTTACATGCGCAACGGGAATAGGATAGCTAACCGGTTGAGAGGGCCACTCGTTGCAATCTTTTCTCAAAAATTCAGGGCCAGATAGCCACAAGGACAATTTGGACGTGTCGGATAGTAGACCACGGGAAGCTATATCTGCAGGATTGCATTTGCTTTCGACGTACATCCAATCTTCAGGTTCCGAATAATCAAGAATGGACGCTAGTCGGTTAGCCACGAAGGTCTCATAACGTGTAGTTCGGTTACGTATCATTTGTAACACAATCATAGAATCTGTCCACAGAAAAGAGGAGTCTATATTAATAGGCAATTCTTCTCTCACACAAGCAGTTAGCTTGGCAGACAATACAGCAGCAGTGAGCTCCAATCGCGGTATGCTTGTGTACTTGTTGGGAGCAACCCTGGACTTTCCTATCAATAATGTGGAGTGGGGTATTCTCGGCAGGTCGATCGGTTGGATGTAGATCGCAGCACCATAGCCGGTCTCTGAAGCATCAGAAAATGCTTGCAACTCAGCCTTACAATCTGAAGCAAATGATTTGGGTCGGATACATCGTGGTATGCGAATGCTTTCTACATTTTGTAAATTCAGCAACCAGTTCTTCCATTTCAACGCTTCATTCTCCAGTCAGCCTTCCTTCAACTGAGATCCTGAATCAGGCACTTTGCTGGCAGTAGTACTGGTGCAACCATCCCCAGAGGATCAAACAATGAAGCTACGTAAGACAGTAAGGCACTACGAGTGTGGATACTGTTCCAGCTTTCAACCTTGAAACAGAAACAATCAGTCGTATTTTCGCAAAACACGCCTAACGTTCCCCTTACATAGTCTGGTTGACGATCTATATGAAGTGGTGTAGTAGTGGATATCTCTTAGGGTAATTCACACAATGCCTCTTCCACATTACTAAAGAAACCTGTAAGATTAAATCCACCAGATGCTAGAGCCTCCTTGAATTGCCTGGCCGTAGTCTTTACCGCTCCTTTCGTGGGCAAACTGATCAGACAATCATCGACGTAGGAGGATCGATTTGCTAAGTTTACCGCTTCCTCTCCGTGGGGTGTCATGAATGTTTTAATAGTCTGCCTGAGAGCTAAGCTAGCGCAACAGGGCGATGAAGTTGCGCCAAATGGATGAACAGTCATGCGGTAAGAAATCGGTCGGTAGGAAAGCTCACTGTTGGTCCACCAGAGAAAACGTAGTGCATCCCGATCGGATTGTGGGACTTTAACTTGATGGAACATCTCCTCGACATCTGCGACCAACACGTAAGGGTGTTCCCGAAATCTTAGAAGGACGCCACATAAATTATTCACCAGATCGGGACCAGTAAGCAGCTGCATATTCAGGGAGGTATTTAAAGTTTTTGCAGCACGGTCAAAAACAACGCGAACTTTGCTTTTGTCTCCTCCTTTGAAAACGCCATGGTGTGGTAGATACCATACACTTGGGCCAGCTTTATTTTGCTTACTGCCAGATACGATTTCTGCATAGCCTTTACTTACATACCCTTCGATCTTTTCACAGTAGAGTTTCCTAAAGATAGGGACACGTTCAAGACGACCGTTTAGAACAAAAAGTCCTCTGAGTGCCAAGCCCTTGTTGTCTGGTAGACACGGGGATCCATCCTTCCAAGGTAAGGGTATTTGATAGTGTCCGTCCACTATTTCCAAAGACGTAAGCATTCGGTCATAGGTCACTCGATCATTCAGAGAAATTGCTCTCTTGGTACAGGCAGCTTCGAGAAACTCGAAGTTGAACATACGTTCGAGCTGTAAATTTAAGTCTTCTGTTTGAGTGATGTGATGGAAAATTGCTTCGCTCTGGTTTCTATTGTGGTTTGAGTATAAAGGTCCCAAAACTGCCCATCCCAAAGGTCCTCTTATTGCGTAAGGATCTTTGGGGCCCCCGAACATGTGCTCTAGAACCCAGTGTGCCTTTGGGACGTCACAACCGATAAGAAGACTTATGTCTACCGGTTTCAATTCTGGAAACGGTATTTTCTTCAAATGCTTCCACTTCTGGGAATGTTCGGGACATGGCGCCAGTGATCGTAAGCAGGGCATGGAGTCAACAACCCAAGCGCGATGAACTGGCATTACTTCCTCAGAATCGGGCGATTCTATGGAGAACGAAACTGATGCAGATCTTGCGACACACTCTCCAGTGATATTTTTAATAATTAATGACGCAGGTGTACCTTTCGATCCCAGTTTCGGCAGAAGTGAACTATGGATCAGGGTCGTACTAGCACCGTTGTCCAAAAAGGCGTTGACAACGACGTCTCCTTCGGGTCCTCGAATCCGAGCTGGTACTACAGCAAGTGATATATTTGATTTTGGGACGTCTGCTATGCTATGATGTACACCTTCTGATGCAATCTCAGGTGGTTCTGGTTCGTTTTCTGTCTTGGAAGAGCTCGGTCGGTGCAAAAGTGGATGATGTTTACCCACACATAACTGGAACCCACAGACATGTCTGTATCAACACACCTTTGCTTGATGGTACGGATTTAAACATAAATAACATACTCGGAGTCGGTCTACGCAGGCAATTCTGCTTACAACTGGCACTTCAATAAACTCTGGGCACTGATCCAGGTAGTGAGATGATCCACACTGTGCACATTTCACAAGTAACCTAACCTGACCTGATCTGTCGTTGCTCATCTGCGTCGTCAAGATGGCTGCTTTATATAGTGGGAATTTGTGTGTTGGTTGGGGCCTCACTGTGTTTAGCTGGGGACGCATAAACCTCCGTCCTACGGCGTACACCTGTTGAGCTGCTGCTGCATCGGCCTTGTCACTTATGAACTTTGCCAGTTCGTCGAATGTTGGATCACGCTTGGACTTGAATGATTTAGCTGCCAGGGCAAACTATTCATTCTGCATGGTACTAGGTAATCTAGCTACAACAGCTCCAACGGTCCGACAAGAATTAAGATCATTTGGATATTCCAGTTGTTTCAACGTAGCAGAACAAATCATCATGTCGTCAGCCAAAGTGACCAAAGCTTTATGATCTTCCGCCTTTGGGGTCAGCCCTTCCGTCAGTTGCTCTATCGAGGTAGTTGCAATGATATGTGGATCACCAAACCTACGTTCAAGTATACGTAGTGCTTCTGCGTAGCCTTCCTCGGGTTCCAAAACGCCACACCGTCTAATGGCTTGGGCTGCCTCACCTTCACAATGATGTACCAGGTACGAGAATCGGTCTGCCGGATCACGAGTGCGTCGAGCAATAGTGGACATGAAACTGCGCATGAAACTGTGGTAGTCGGCGGGGTTTCCATCAAATTTTGGCAGCTGTCGCGCAGGAAGTCCCATACATGTTTGCACCAACTGAGCGGTTTCCAGAAGCCGATCGTCTTGCCTCGTGTTAGCATTACGTAAATGGATATTCGGAGGGTTGATAACAGTATCTTGTTCAACTGGGATTGGTAAGTCCTTTGGGTCTGGTATGGAATTTACATATCTTCTTACGGCATCACACCGTTCACTTGTTGCAAGACAAGGAGAAGTTTCCAAACCCCCAGAATTCATGGATCGAGCAATTTCGTCTAACTTCTCCATCTCCTGTTGAACACTGTCTTGATATTCCTTGATTCTTTTAGCAGCATCCGCCTCCAGCTCTAACTTTTTAATCTTTATACGGGCAAGGTCCAGTTCTCTCATTAATTCTTGCGTGGACAATCTGCTACTGGTGGATGCACGAGACGGAGAAGGCAGTCGAGACACAGACATAACGCGTCTTAATGTAGCCGGATATTGAACTTCGCACGGAATTTCTAGCCAACTTTGTACGATCCTGTGCTAAGGCCGTGATCTCAAAGCAAGGAATAGGTTACTTAGCCTAAACGCACGATCTAGATGTCCTATCTGACAGGTTACGTGTAGTCTAATTCACCAACGGACGGTCAGTAGTACTTGCGGCGAAACCGAATTCTAAGAACTTCACCTGCGTTTGTTCAGTAGTCGCGATTGGGCAGTGAACAATATATTGAATTGGACTTGGGCAGACAGTACAGACAGGTAGACCATGGTTCTATGGGAAATTACCAGTAAATCGTGAGGAGAGTTAAAGAAAGGCTTACGGCTAGATTGAACCTTGGGCAGTTAGCAACACAGGATGGCACACGAAGGGCAGCGTGCTATCGGACAAATCAAGCGGGGAAAATTGTTCAGTTCAAAGTGGAACAAAATTTCAACAAGTCCATGGATAAATGTAAACAAATCGTCTATAGAAATGGTTGAGGTAGAGTTGGCTTTGTATAAAATAGAACGGTTCAGTCTTGAAACTTGAGCAGTCACGGAAGGGTGATGAACTAGCCTGAGGAATATGGAAACAAATAAATACGTCACGTAATTTACAAACACATTCAAGGAGGTCATGTTTAAGACGGGAAGTTGTCAGTCAAAATTTTCTGCCAGTTGCCAAATTTGTGATACACAAGTGAAGACCGAGCGGGTGAAAACGTATGGGAGGGTTTTACACAATTATTATGAAAATGTAGAACCCCTTTATGGTGGTCAATGTAATCCTGACGTGCGCTTCGTTTGTATTTCTGTTAGCATGATCAAGTACACCTGCAAAAATCATCTGGAGACAGTGTTGCCTTTTGTCGATTACTGCTTTCTCAACGAAAACGCTGAAACTTTTCATGGATACGTTTTTTTATTTACATGCGCGCTAAACAAATGACTCAGATTGGCAATGAAATTGCTACACAGAATAACGTCGAAGTGTCAAAATGCAGGTCTTTTAGTTTGCTTTAAGTCCATCTGAGTATTTGGTTTGCTTATAAAAGCTTCCATGAACGTAGCGTTTTTCAGCATTGCACTACTGAAACATCCCAGCCTAATGATGAATATTTGAACGCCATGGTTGCTTTTGGTGGTTGAATAGATAAACATATTTTTCGCACAATTTGTAAAATCAAAATGTTCAACGTGACAACTCTGTGACCCAGTACTGAGCTACCTAGGTGAAATATTAACAAAATTGCCGAAATGGATGATGGAAATACAAGGTGGGTTCACCAATGTAGGTTGAGTAATCATGAACAATCTTATGAACTATCAGCATTCACTTAGTTGATCACGGTTTTTACGACGCTTGAAAATTTACTTTGAACGTAACCGCTAGTTATGTTGAATAACCAGCCTAGCGGTGGCGCTCCAAAATGGTAAAATAGTGAACCGCACAAAAATATCAAGCTAAACATTTAAGCACAGAGGAACTTATTCGTCTCCACGAGTGAAATCAACTAACCATTGTACGTTATCAACAGTGATGGATATCATGGAAATGTAAAATCTGTGCATCTTTCTATGCAAGTCGCGACAATATTTACAAACCCGGGAGATTCCTGTAACTGCGTCTTACATAACCTGTCTTAATTTGGTGCTGGCGGCTTTCATTCGATGTACCTGACAGTTTTCCTTCCACTATCATTTTCAGTAGGTGCTTTTTGGCCTAAGTATATGTATCTTTATTGCATCAAACCGTTTCTCTGTCGGCGTCGTTTGCTGTCCTATGTTCATTAGTATTTCAAACTGTTGTCATTTGGGAGGACGCTACTGAATCGCTTCATTGGGTAACAAATGCTCAATAAGTTGAACTCGTTTTTCAGTTGATGTAGTCAAAATTACATATCCAAGACCTATGACAAGCATTCGATAGAAATCCCGAAATATTGGTAATTTTCTATGCTATACCGGTTTTGCAATACATGGTCTTGACTATCACAAAAAGGTACTACTCCAAAAAAATGGTGTTATCTGCGTAATCCAGATCGAGTTAAAAAACTCTTTTTTAAACTTTCCCCGAAACTGCCATAAAATTAATATGACATCTTAATAGAACAGATTTGTGGACATGTAATTTATGTACAAATTTTGTTTAGTAGTTCATAAAACCAATGGGTGCACATGTTTCTCTGACCAGCTGTCAAATTATGCGCGATAAACCAGTCACAACAGTCTGATCTGGCACTTTTGGCACCCCCGGAGAATGCATGCCCCTAGAGAGTTCAGAGTGCTGTAGAAAGCCACTGTTTGGGTTAACAAAAGAGTGCACGGTGAAACATGGGAATTCTGTCCACCAAGTGAGGGTGTGCCCTAGGATGTATACAGCAAGGCAATGGAAAGTTTAGCGTTCTTTGAATGTGCAATTTTTACAGCTGATGAGATGTCCCCAAAACAACTTTCGAATGTAATAAAAAAGGTCACGACCGATTGAAACACTTGGAGTATTTAAGCAAGAGTTTCATCTTGCAGGTAAATTCATTCTGTTTTACAAAAACACGGAGCAGGTTTAATGTGATCTATCCTTATTAGGAATCACTGTTATTGCGCATTCCACGGAACAGCAGAGTTTTAAAACTAACAATTTGTGACAAGCATTTTGAACACTTGAAAGTCGATTACCAGCTAATAGCAGTTTGATTCACCTGCACTTCAACAGGGCATGGAACTGCTTATTTCCATTCATGAACTTACATCACGCGGTCATATGTTTTCACTGGCAGTTGGGACAACGAATTTTCTAATGCGGATTTCATCTATCAGGTGAATTTTATACTTCTTCTGAGCATCGCGTGGAGCGTACAAGGTGTAATGAGATTTGAGGCCATAAATGAGCTTCTATAGACCGGATCACTCACATGATAAATTCTTCATTGAAATTCAAAACTTTCCTCACTCCGTTAACCCACGAATCAGTGGATGAAATGGATTTTGTTGTCGAACTTCTGACTGGGATGACAATAGTCGTAAACACCCTGCTGACCGAAAGCAAAAATTGTATAGTTAAGCACAGTAGCTAATATGTAGCTTTTGACGAACCACTCCTAATAATAAGTGTTCTTTCATACATGGCTGTCAGTTAGACTTCCTTCGACCTGAACACCGTAGAGCTTTTCATATTATTTTGGTTCTTTCAGTGACAGTTAAGTGTCACATAAGCCTCCTTTGTATCCTCCTCTCGGTATTAGTAAGTTCCCTTGGAAAGGCAGTCTTTGGTTGAATGTTGTGCTCCATAAACTCTGCAAAAGATGCCTTCAGCATACAAAGTGCTCTGCAGTGGAAAAGACGTTTCCCAGGTTGTATTATGTAGATGTTCGTTGCCGAATTTCCATTGCATGTATATATCATTACGAACAAGGAATATTATATTATACAGAAATATATTATCAGCAGTAAGAGCATAGTGCTTAGTGGAAGATGTTAGTCTGTTGCAGTTTGAACGCTATATATTGATGTATCAATAAACGGGGGCGGCTTTCGATTACGATCGTGTAGTTGTTTGGGTGGGTTCATTTCGATGTCCTATGACTTGACTGTTTGGTAACCTCGTGCAAGCTGACCCTCACTCTCAGTGTTCTCGTTTAACAATTAAATTTCGGATTACTCTTCGTCTTATCTATTTTCATTGAGCATTTGGAGGATTGCAGCCTCCGGGTTCTTCAATTCAAATTTTCGCCTCCCTGGAATATTCCAGCTGACAAGCTGGTCCCTTTTACAAATCAAATACATATCGAATTTCCGATGCAATACCATGATTGGGTAAAATCCCTACTTTTCTTGTGTGCCCATTTTGAACCTTCAAGGACCGCTAAAGTACCTACGGCAGGGTTATGATGGTTGACAAATAACTAGCTTCAAGTTTTTTTTACTTGAAAGTCAACACAAGCGTCACGTCCAAACATGTTCAAAAATGAGTGATATATGTACTCCGGTAAGAGTCCAAAGCGATTCAGACGTAACCCAAACCCGTCGCAAGAACCAAATCTTTGAGATAAATGGAGCAACGTACAATCATTCAGTCCCTACGTACTTCCAGTCATCTACTTCAAATAAGCTGTGGGTCAACAAGTGCGAGTCTTTCTCATCATCACTGATAGCATTGAAATATCAACGTTTGTAACGGATACCCCTCAAATTTAAAATGACTACCGTTAAAAATATGTCAAAATATGAAAAAAAATATAGGGTATGAACTGGATGTTGTAGCTTGCGAAAATATCGACAAAACTTATCAGAATTTTTCGGACAAACAATCTATTTTCAGTATATGGTGCCCTGATTGAAGCAATTCCTGTAGGCAATACGGTATGAACTTTTGGGATTGTAACTGCTATCTGTATTGCTAAGACGCGGTTGGTTTCCAAAATGTTATGAACATTTTGTGCGCAACAATATCTTCAGAAAAAACATTATTCAGCTTATCAAGCCACTTTGATAAATATTTCGATGTGCATTATATTGCATAATATAATGATGTAACATTTTCTGTCACGCTCTGGACAAATGATGTGTGTCAAATCATTTCGTCGTTACACAAAGTCACATGCAGCTGCCACCCACGGAATGACATCAATCCGTCCAGATTAGGGACGCTTGTGTCATACATTCAAGCACCACTTAGCTTACGACAAAATTTTTTGTTCACGCAAACCACAGGCTTGGCCTCGTTGACTCCATGGGCATGTTTAAGTGTCTCACCAGTTTCTTCAAACAGCTATGCCGAAGTTTCGCCTTCGGAATATCACGCATTACTAGATTGGCAGTTTCATCTAGTTGGCTGGGACTTCTTTGTGCCACAGCCCACAGTATCGGGCTACAAGACCTACAGTCGTATACAGTGCGTATAAAATTCTACTGTTGTATCTGGAACATTTGGTACACTGTATGGATATCCACTACCGCATCATTTCTGAGTAAACTTTACCACTTGTGGTCACTTGTCACTATATATCAGAGAAAGCACGTTACATTTCACAAAGACGCCAATGGCAAATTTGAGTGAAAAATATGAAACATTCTTATTTAGTAATCACTGGTATCTAAAAATCACATTTTCAACTACGAGTAGAGTTGGAGGCACCAGTGTGAATCGTTCAGTTTGATGGAAAATGGTTTCTCGTTGAGGCAAGATGAACATAAGACGAATAATGCATCTGATTAGACAAGCTAACTTGGCGGATTCATGTGTTAACTATGCCACGTTACCAAGGTGACTCAAGTGCAATGAAAAATACATGACGGTAGAATGGGTTGCAAAATAGGGGTATCACAAAACGTTCAAAGGTGTCAGGTAGCTTGCGGCTAGCCAAATTGAGTGGTTGTCATGCTGTCACTGTAAGTGTTAGAACGTGTTCCTTCGTAGATTATGTTATACTAGCCACAGTCTCTCACCATTAGTGTCATTTTATGGTGCAATTCTTTAATGTGACGGAGATGTTTCTGTGTTACACATGCACCGGCTCCCATCTGCCGCGTCATTATGGAAAAAAATGCGTTGTAAAAAAGTAAGAAGCCATGACGAAA